GACTCTCACTCCGGTGGGAGGAAAAATGCTGGCGGCACCTTGCAAAAAAGGAGTCGGGAGCAGTTGCTGGTAAGCACGAAAAACTGCGTGCACCCGAAAAGGGCGCAAAGCAACGGAAACCCCGCCTCCTGCGCTCGCCAGCTGGGCTCTGCCCTAGGAAGGAGGCTCTGGCAAACCACTTCCGAAACACCTTGCCTTGAAAACTGCAAGGACTCGTCCGGGCAGTTGCTGCAGAGTCGGTAACGACTGAGCGCAGATAAAAAAAAAAAAGCATACAAGTTTAATACATCATCATATCACTATTATTATTAAAAATAGATTACAGGTTAGTGAGATCAAGGTCAGAATCCAAGGCAGAAACCATGGAATTACTACATTTTGACTGCTCCTCAGTGAATAGCAGCTTTAGCTTCCAAAAGTGAGCCCTCAAGACCTCAGGGCCTAAAGGAAATGAACACCCAAAAGTGGAATGACTTTACAGAAAGAAGAATGCATAAGGAAAAGGAAAAGTTCTACAGAAGAATAGGAAAGGACATTAACAGACGTTACTTATCTATCATTTATTTAGCCTCATTAAAGAAAAACAACGAATGTACTCCCTGACTCTGTTACACTGGGGGAAAATAACTGTTATGAAAGGGAAGAACCATGCTCAGCAGTTACGCAGAATCAAGATGGGTTAGGTCTCTGTCTACAGATTTCTTGGACTTAAAAGAGTCCCATATAAGGCTCACATACAATAAATCCTTCAGCCAATTTCTTGCAAGAGAAGGTTGGCCTCCCCCTCACTACTCCATTCGCTTCTATCTCAAGTATCTTGTTGCGCAAAAGAAATACCTTCAGCTGTTTGGGGGCTGGACAGTAGTGTACATAGAGATACTACTGTATACAATTCAGATTCAAAGAAAAGGAAGTTTTCCAAGGAACACAGCATGATCTAACAGAGGCTAGATTTTAATATACAGCAGGTCACGTACCCTCCAGTTATGTATACTTCAGCTCCCAGTATTCCCCATCCACCGTGGCCATTGATGAGAATTCAGAAGATCCACCCATTTGGAGTGCAACCAGGTTGGGAAAGACTAGCTTATTAGATCCATAAGACCTAACAATAAATTGCCTTGCCCACAAGAAACAGAACAGAACAGACAGACAAATAAAGCATAATGTATCTGGTGCAGTGATTAAGATGTTGGACTAGGACTAGGGAGACCCAGGTTCAGGTTTGGCTTCAGCCATGGAAACTCTCTTTGAGCTATTCATTCTCTCTCAACTTACCTCACATTTTGTTTGCGGGGGAAAAGTGAAGGAGGGAATGCTATGTACACTGCCTTGAACTCCTGGAGGAAAGGCAGGCTGTTAATCTAACAAATAATATAAATAAGCATAAGAACAGTAAGTGTCTGTCAAGAGCCCTCCTTTTTCAAGCAGAAGAAGATCCATGGCCCCGTAACTTGAGCCACTAGGACTGCCTCATCCTCATGATGAATCCTCTCCTGGCCATCTCAAAACAGCAGAGCACCAGGAGACACAAAATGGAGAAAGCTTCTTCTTGGGTAAGGTGAGGCAAGGCGAAAAAGCCAAGCCTAGAAGGACAAGTTTATCTCTTCTCACCATTCCTTCTAGCAGTGATTCTATCATGAAATTCTTAGAGCTTACAGTGAAGCAAAGAGGTGGGAACAGCCAGTGCTTGACAGCAAACATAAAATCTCTTTCTCCTCCAACATATATAAATAAGTATAAAGAATATAATTAGTCACCAAACTAAAACCCAATCCAAAAATGCTACTAAAACTTTTCAGTATAGATCCCCCCCAATAATGTTATTTCTATTATCAATAAGCATAGATAATTTATGTAGATATGTTTCATAAATTAGGTGTGACCTATACTTCTAAGGCCTCAATATAATTTGTTTAGTTTTTCAGGCAGTCTTGTGTAACCTAGTTTTTAAAAGCAGGCAATAAAGTTATCAGCATATTATTAGCTAAGGTTAATTAATTTTCTATAAAATGACACAAGAGTACAAATTTAAAATAGTCAATTGGTTTTTATAATAATTCATTTCTTTTTAAAATTTCAAAAGTACCAATCATTAAAATACTTAAGTAGACTTGTTCTCCCTAAAAAAAATATGTAGTCAAAAAACCCCAAAGCTATACAACTGATGCTTTTTCATGTTTTAACAAAAGTCACGAGCCTGAACATACACTCTTGAATGTATCCTAGAAGGAAATATATCCTGAACAATAATATCAGCCGGATCTTAAAGTCAAAAAGGCCATTTCGTGCTTTTTCACGTAATGCTGCTACACAAATGACTACTGATGCACATATCAGAGTGATAATGTATTCTTCACAAACATATGGAACGGCCTAATAACATGTTGCTACTCTAAAATATCTTATTCTCACAGGATTTTATATACAATGGCAACTTTCTATTGGGATAGAGTATAATTCCTAGAAAGTGGTAAGTCACATATATCACATTTTCCACCAGAGGTCACTGAAGTATTAATTTGGTATTACTGGACAGCATATTCAATGTTCTGTGTCTTAGTAGCAAGGGAAATCAAACTTAAAAATGAAGGTTTGAGGGGGGAAAAATCACATTTGAAGCATTCATTTAATGCACAAATTGCAGAGGACTTCCTTTTAAATGTTAATGTATTTTAAATTATCTTACACAAGGTGAAACCTATGTTATGTAATAAAACAGATCACTTAAGGTCATTTTATTATTTCAGAATCCAACTTTTTCAATATTGCCCAGAGAGTCAGAAGAATCAACGATAGTAAGGATGGTCTGCAGTTTAGAATTTGTCTGATTATTTTGTCCATTTTACAGACAGTTTTTTATCATAGTGTCTGGCTTATACTTTTGTTTATTATTTCTTGCTTTAAATTAAATGCACTATTTTAAAAAAAAGTCTGTAACCTTTACATACTCATTAGTAGGAATATTGGCTACCCAAAATTTGTCTATTTTATTTTTTTAAAAGGCCAGATAAGGGACAATGAACTGCACTAATTATATTGATATGCATGGATGGTCTGTCTTTCAGAGATAGACTCTTGTTCCACCATAAAAGTCTCCTGAGTTGTGGATTCTTGGAAATAGTGTCAGAAAGGCAAAAGTGTTACCTCCAGAAATACATTTCACACACACACACCCCTCCATTTCTAAACTACCTACTCCAACAGCTAGCTGCATAGGAGGAAAATGTTGCACACAAATGGAGGTAGAAATATCAATAATTATTAGAATGTCTTTTTCTCTTCAACTTATAATTCTGAGAAGTGCTTTTATTAGAAAAAGTAGTTATGTTCCTTTAAATAATTATTTATTAATATGCCCTGTTGTCACTAATTTTGTTTCTGGTATTGTTAATTAATCAGACACTTGTACAATGTGGCCCATTTGCAGAAGGGGAATTTCACATCTTTTCCATGTCATACCAAGAATATGGGTTTTCTTCCCCAATCAAGTGGGACTGGGCTTAGTGTCACTCAAATGCAAGGTACACTCTGAGAAGGAGGATCAGCATAGAATCAGCAGGATCAGCAAGAGAGATGGAAGATAAGCAAACCTTCTTTATATATTCAGGACAGCTTTCCTTAACCTGGTACTAGCTGGAGATGACAAGGTATGTAGTCAAATACATTTGGATGTAATTAGATTGGAGAAGCTGATCTAAAAATCATAGATGCATAAGTATACATTCATCTTTTGGGATACGCAGTTACATAAAGTGCAGAAAAGAAGCAAGAAATGCTAAGCAAAATAAAGGCATGAAAGAGAGAGAGAGAAGGAAATATAGTTAAATCTAATTTACAACAATACCATTAATTATACTTCTACATGACTTTCTATCTTTTCAAATCAACCTTGCTTCTATCATATTTATATACTGCTTTATACATTGCCTTTCTCACTCTCATATCTGAGGGTCTCATCATCTCCATTCAGTCACAACTTCCTTGCTCTTCCCCTTCCTTTCAAAGCATTACTCTTGCATCATATATTTTTGGAATTCAAACTTCATTCATTGTCTCTCAATATACCACTGCAGTGCACCAATCACTCACTTTTACATTCAATCCACTTTAATTCTTGATCTTACCACTTCTTGTTTTACCCCACACACTTCTCAAGTACCATATTTCCATTGCATTCAACTTCATTTTATATATCTCCTGATTTTACCCAACTCTCACTTTTATATAACAAAGTGGACAGAAACACACTCTTATAGTCAGCAAATGTTTACTTCCTTAAGCAAACATTCATACCTTGCAACAGGTCACATCCTATTCATTAGCCTCTGTCAGCACTTTCTAAAATTCAGCCATCCATTTTCCATCTTTAGTAAACATTCCTCCAATATACGCAAATGCATCTACTTGCCCAAGGTTTCCTCCATATATTTTTATTGCACATTCTGCCCATCTTCCCTGCTAAACACAACAACCATGGTCTTTAATACATTTACTTTCAGATCCATCTCCTTGTTGCATTATATAATCTAAGATTTGCTGCAAAGAATTTGGATTCTCAGTTAACAACGCAGCATTGTCTGCACACAAAAGTATACTCATATCCCCAGCCAGGACATTGCTAACCTTACACATCTATCCATAAGAATATTAAACAATCAAAGGGATAGCACACTTCTACTTCTTATATCCTGTGCAATGTTGAACAATGTGCTTAGCTCTCTATTCTTACGCATGCTTTGTTTTCATTGTACTGTATATCACTTTTACAGCATTCAGAAATCATTTTTCAACACCATATTTGAGCAAAACAAACCTATTCACTTTATTGCATGCTTTCTCTAAATCAACAAATATAGAATTAATTATTTTTTCACTTTCATACAATTCCTAATGTCTTCCTGAAGAGCAAAAATCAAGTCTATATAACCCCTGTATAGCACTACCCTTTCCACATTTTAATTCATTTTTAACTTCTGGTATCCTTTCAGTCAGAATTCTGCCAAACATCTTCCCAGCTATACTTAACAAATTCCCCTGTAGTTTTTGCATTCACTCTTGCTACAATTCATTTTTAACTTCTGGTATCCTTTCAGTCAGAATTCTGCCAAACATCTTCCCAGCTATACTTAACAAATTCCCCTGTAGTTTTTGCATTCACTCTTGCTACAATTCATTTTTAACTTCTGGTATCCTTTCAGTCAGAATTCTGCCAAACATCTTCCCAGCTATACTTAACAAATTCCCCTGTAGTTTTTGCATTCACTCTTGCTACATTACCCTCTGTACAGGGGAACCTTAATGGCCTTCTTCCAATTATCAAGCCCAAATAAAGCATTCATACAATACTTAAATCAAACAGCCACTTCGTAACCAAATGGTATTCATATTTTTATATTTCTCCAGTTACAAAACCTACACCCACAGCCTTACTGCCTACACTGCAGATATAAAGGTAGTCAACAAGTTACAGGCAAAAGGATAGATTATAGAAAGACAGTCATTATGTAACTTTAGAGGGAGAGGTTAAAATATAATTGTACTTATAAATGCTGTGAATAATATCAGAAGCTACTTCTTTATACCTTCATATCTATCTTCATATCTTTCTCTTTTTTCTCTTTTCTTTTCTTATTGCACTTTTAGCTTTTTCTGTTATTTCTATCTTTCTCTTTCATTTTCTCTGTTCTAATTTAGTTTGTATTAGTACTTATTACTGCTCTTAAAACTTTTAATAAAAATTATATATATATTTAAAAAACAAGTTACAGGCAAAAGGAGAGAATAGCACATTACATGATAACAGAGGCTGATAAAAGAGGCAGATGATACAAAGCTAATATATTTTATACTATGAATCACAGATACTCAGTATAATGAGAATCAACATAAATTAATGCATGGAGATACAGTACAGCACAGACAATATTTCAAATCACTTAAGAAGAAATCAGAAGTGTGGGTGTTTGAGCCAAAAACTTTCTATAGGCAGAATATAATTTCTTTAGAAGATTTCCTTGCATTGAGGACTTAATACCAGTAAACTGAAGGAGAGTAACATTGAAGGATCAAAGACAGTTGACTGAAACAAATGACTGACTAGAAGTTGACACATTTTTAATTAGTATCTCAAATAAATAGTTCTTCCAAGATTATTTTATAAACAGTGCAAGAGAATTTTAAACGTTTGTACTTTAAAATCTCAAGAATCTAAAATAGTGAAATGGAAGTATCTTAGAAATGATAGCAATCCAGAAGACAGAAACAAAGCAAAGGTTAAAAAATATTTTTTCTAACAATGCTCTGTGAATTATTTACTAACCTTTAACATATTGGTCCCATTTTGTTCTATAGTTTAAGTCCATATAAACGTCAGCACATAGCTCTGGGGAACAATCAGCAAGTATACTGTAGATTTTATATTCATATAGCCCTGATTTCTGGAAATAAAAATTAAAAATCAAACAGTCAGATGAAAAATAAAATCTGCTTTGTAGTACCACCTCTGTCTAAGCTATTATTTTGAATCAGCCTTCTTCTACCCAGTGTCCCTCAGCATAGTGACTGCTGAGAATCAGGGAGTTGCAGTGTTGATAGCTGGAGGACACCAAGTTGGGGAAGGCTACTTTTATCAATCCAACCTGCTTTCATAAGACAAATTTGCATTAGCATCTCAAACAGAATAATATTTGTCCCATAGGACAGATACTTCTGACCATTTGGTGAAAGGCCTAGACTGACCCTTTCAAATATACAATATTGTGCAAGCAGGCTTCCACTCACTCATGCAATGGTGCCTCCCCTTCCTCTCCTCCTTCTGCAATCACAGTCCCCCCAATCTGCTCTGAAGAGATGAGAGCAGATGTAGTACTAGAGTGAATGACTATGCTTGGTTGGCAATGCTGAGAGGGGGAAAAAAAAAGGGAAGAGAACAGAGAAGTGGATGGATAGGATGAAAAACGTTGCTGGAATGTCCTTGGAAGAGCTGTATGATATTATGGAAGACAGATCGAGATGGCAAGTGTTTGTACAGGAAGTCACCAGAAATTGAACTCAACTGAATGGCACCTAATTATCTATTCCATTTGTGGAAGTACAGTTAAATACAAGCTACAGGCTTCTGTCCTGTTAGGGCACAGATTTCTTCATATACTAACCTTAAGGTAATTCTCTGTGGCAGCCTTAGGATGTTTATCTCCTATGCTGATACTGGCTAGATATGAAACCTGTCTAGATTTCAAGCTTTGGCAATGATGCTGGTCAGACGTTCTGTGCAGACGGCACTAACTATAGCCACTAGCTGGTGGATTCACCTGCTTCTTTGCCCTCTCTCCAATGTTGGGAAAACAAGCACTAATCACTTTCCTTTCTGTGGGCAGAACTTTGAGGATATGTGGTTTTCATTTGCAAACAACATGCAAGTCAATGTATCATTCAGCTGGGAGGGGGCTTAGAGGACTTCTAATCCAACCTCATGTTTAGTGCAAGGTTTGCTTGCCCACAATGAACATTTCACCAGTCCATCAGTAGATCACGGGGGTGGGGGGGGAACACACCAGTTTCACCTCCCAAATATAAGCAGTAGCAAGAATCATATTTCTGTTATGATGTTTAGTTGTGATAGTAACTACTTTTTAAAGTTAGTTATTCTTGTCATTTGAGCTAGAAGGCAAAACTGGCAAACTGCTTTCAGTTTCACCCTAGCACTTACTTGAATCCAGAGATGCCTTCTGCCAGCACCGGACTTATAATTAGGAGAGCTTTAACATGTCAAAAGCATTACTGGGTTCTAATCTAGGAGAACTGAAAGGCACATCTGTGCTGGGAGAAAGGAAGGAGATTTTTTTCCCTCCCTCTTCTTTATAATTGACAGTTTGCAATTGGTACTTGGCAATAAATTACAGATCTCTTGACATTTCATGGCTTAGTTTGGTTCCTTACTAGAGTTGGCAGAAGTTTCAGACATGAATTGGCTACGTAATATTCTTTACTGTAGATGAGAATGAAGCCGTACAAAACAGTGCTAATGATTTTTAGACCCGTGGTGGTTTAAACTCATTGTTTCTTTCTCCCACCCCTTCCACATACACTTGACATGACACTTAATGGCCTTAAAGCCAAATGATTATTGTATGTTTATGTAACTGTCATTTTTTAGCTGAGAACTACCGCAGTCCTAACTGGGAAAGAGGTGATGATGCAAAAAGAATCGGGATGAGTTTTTCTCCTGAGTTCTCGTGAGTTCTTTCATTGTTTTAAAATGACATTAAGACTATTTTAGGACATACACTGCCATTTTAAAGTATTTCCTATTTCAAAAGTGGTAGGAAAACATACCATCAGTTTACAAGTCCTCAATCCAGATAATCTCATGTGTTAACTACTTTACTTTACATGATATATTAGAACTCTTGAAGCAAAATAAAGAACTTGCTGTTATTAGCATTACTCATTGTAGAAATAGAATATCAAGTCTAATTCAGTGCATTAATTGTTGTACACCGCCCAGTCACCTTGTGTGAGATGGGCACCTATATAAATATGATAAATAAGTAAATAAAATAAATTAACAGAATCAAGTCTTTTCCCTAATGAGATGAGAGACATACTGAATATTATATGTGTAGAATTTAAGTGATCATATCACTGAAATTACCCTTTGAGTTCTGATGGTTATTAAATCTAATCTTATATTCTATTAAAATTTTGAATATAACTATAGTATCCCAATTCAATAAACATAATTTCATTCTTCAATGCCAACAGCTAGGGCCTCTATTAAACCATCATTTGAAGAAAAAACAAGGGAATATTTAAAATAAAGATGTATGGTTCACACAGAATTTCATAATGGTGTTAAATGTTTTCCCTTATTTATTATTTATTTATTTTCAATACTTTTTTACAATACTGCTTTGAAAAATCATTCCAGCAATGGAGGTAGAATCCACCCTTGCCTACCCCCAGTGATTTTTCCCCCAAAGACTCATAAATTAAATAATGACCCTTGAAATGTCAGAATCTTTATAAAATCTCCCAATAAACTTCTGTTATTTATACCTCATGTACAACATTAATATTTTGGGAATATGGGAGTTGTAGACCAACACAACTGGAAGCCACCAAACTGGGGAAGTGCTCTGTGCTACAAAAGACTACAGCAGAAACTCAGATCATGCTGATTTATAGCTGCTGGACTATATCTGCACCAAACCTGCTCCTTCAGAGGTAAGCAATTATACCTACTCTGGATATTAAACTAAAACTAAATGTTTATATTATAGAAAATTACAACAAAATTTTATTCAGAAGGATACTTTTATTTCATTGCTTTAAAAAAAAAAAAGTTATACTTCTTTTTCCCACTGCTTCAGGAAGATATTTTGCAATAATGAAATTTGCAAATACAAATGGATACAGTATATATTAAAATGGCACAATTTTAGTAGCCTGCTCCAAGGCTGGATGTAGTCAGCAGATAGAACAGCCTGTTGGCTGGGACTGACAGAAGTTGGAATCTAAAACATCTGGAACCACCAGCTTGGGGAAATCTGGAAAAAAGTATAGCAAATATGAAGGAAAGAATATTTCTCACTAAAATCAAGAGATAAATTAATCAAGTTCTGAATATGTAACCCAAGCTTGATCTGAGCATAATGGCTTAATCTAATGAATACAGCTGCAGTGAGATGGAACAGCAGTTCAAAATATATTTCATTAAGAATTACAAACACAGAAACCTTGACATTCTAAATATAATCAGACTTGTACTACAGTTCCACCATGGCCTTTGACTCAACAAACCATACTATACTGTGGCTATTTCTTGTTATAAACCAGAAAAATTACAATGGTTTATAACAAACGTTCTTCTTCAAACATGCCTTCTTGGTATGGATAACATGCTCCTACCAACAAAAAGATATTCAGTTATTCCACAGTCAGCTGATATGGACCTGCAGATACTTGCAACTAGAACTATTGTATAACTTAGTGTATAACCTATATATAAGGTTATAAATTAATATAAGGTTATAAATTATATTGTATAACTCATAACCTAATTTAGTATTAAAAAGTTATAATCAGGAATGTAAGCCAAAGGTATTTATACATTTCTGACATGATTATTCATATATTCCATTATCTTGCAGAAAAGCTTTCCTTCTATTTAAATCAGTAGACTCGATTACCAAAAAGTTACACATCAGGAAAAATGTTTATTATCTTTCTCTGAGATATGTATGTATATATTGTATGTAGTATTTAGCTACTATGTTGGGATAATTTCAATAATACTTTTGAGTATAGATCTGTCAAAATTCAGAAAAAATAGCAGCAATTGGGATCAAAGTCATTAATTTCCCTTTCTTTAGCAGCTTCATTTCTTTATGAAAAATGTTGCCCAGTGCATCTAGTGAATTACCATGTGAAAGCACCCCAGTTTTTGAACTGTAATTATGGCTTTTCCAAGTCTCACAATTCAGGGACTTACAGTCAGGTCCAGAAATATTGGGACATCGACACAATTCTAACATCTTTGGCTC